GAGCTGAGTATATATTTCACAGTATATACTATACAAATATTATAATACACATGTTAAAGTATATTGTAGCCATAATATTTTTAAAGGAATGATTATCACATAGTATCCTATAGAAGGTAACATTACAACGTTTACAAATCAGAGATTACCAAGTAGAATTTCTCATAAAAATAACTAAAAATACAAATTACCTTTTTGAATTTAAACAATCATTGGAGCTGAGTAAATACTGCACAGTATATACTATACAAATATTATAATATACATGTTCAAGTATATTGTAGTTATAATATTTTCAAAGAAGTGTTTGTCACATAGTATCCTATAGTCAATACTACTCCAATGGCTTCATTTATTTTCACTCCTAATAACTTTACCTAAAAAATATGATACTAACAGATGATTCAAAAAATTAATATTCAAATTCGTATTAGTAACACGAAAGAATATTAATAATATTCAAATACGATACTTTTATACACAAATCTCCCTATAAAACCATTTTAAATTTTTTGAAAATTTATCTGGAGTTACTGATTCGTTCCAGCAAAAGTAATCGTCGAGCCGAAACAGTTGAAATTTGCCTTCGTGTGGACCCATGTTGTCCGAGAATCACGGATCCATCGGTAACGAGCATATCAACGTTCTCACATCCGTTCGTGAGGCACCAGGGGAGCCAAAGATTAATGTTGGTCCGTTAATGAGAAACAAATAGGTTAATAGCTAAGAAGGATACGTATGGGAGGGAAAGAATGGGAACGAAACAAGAAATGATTATCCTGCTCTATTATGAAGATTTCTTTCCTACTTGTTTTTCTTCCATGCGCGTGGCCCGCGGGAACGATAAGTCTCAACGAGGATTTATTATGCATTCGAAGGTCTCTTATACATGAAGCATAACATCGAATTTCAGTTTATTAAGGAATCGCTTGTTCCTTGATTGCTGTTTCCCAAGTTCACATAAATATTCCACAAACGAATCTGTAAACGTAACGAAGACAACGAGTTACTTTCATACCTGGACACTTCTTGATTTTTATAACGTTCTTTAGGATGAAGGATAAAGTAATTTGTGTATATACTAGGTGTAGAAATTATTTATGTGTCTTTATATTCAGTCTTTATAATTGTAGCTTGAATACAAATATTTACACGTCATTTTGTTACGTTAAATTATTAATGTTTCAAATTTTCAATCTGATTTTTATTACAATAAATTTGTATTAGAGTGGTCCTTATTTCAATGATTTTCGAAATCTATGCGACACACTTCTTGCAATCTTGCAATCTGTCTTTACATTCAATCTTTGTAACTGCTAGTTTAAATACAAATATTTACACGTCATTTTGTTACGTTAAATTATTAATGTTTCAAGTTTTTAATCTGATTTTTATTACAATAAAATATTAGAGTAGTGATTTTGGAAATCTACTTGACACACCCCTTGGAATCTTGCAATTACGTGAAAATAAAATTCCCGCAAAATTTGAGCACTTAATTTTCACATTAACACGTGCCTCAAATCTTTGAAATTTATAAATGAAAAATTCATGGAATTTTTTCGATCGGTTACTATTTTTATAACCTCGGTAAAAATTGAAGAAATGATTTGAAATTTAGCAGAGCTATAACTTGTAATAATAACAACAAGACTTAATAATTTCAAATTTTTATCTTAATTATCTCCTTATATATTGGCCGAGTATATGTGAAGCTATTTTCTCTACTTAAAATATATTTATAATATTTATTAAATGTTTTAAGTGTGAAATTATTTATTCGTTTTTATCAAAGTTCCATAAACAATTATTCCTTTTCAAGTAATTCCAAAAATTTAGTGTTTCAAAAACTTGCATTATGTTTAAGTACAGTAAGTGACATTAATATTTGGACACTTTTCAATGTTTACTTGTTCGTTTTTTTAATTTCCTTTACACTTAAAGATCGAGTAATTACGGAACATATCATATTTATACATTGAGTTTAATTAAGCAAGTATAGAGTTTCTTTATTTAATTCGTAATATTTCTGCGAAAATGAATCTCAAACAATATAATATCTAATTTTGACGTTAGTTTAACATTCGAGCACTTACTAAAATTTAATTAACGTTCTGGTTTTTGTAAACGAACCCTGTTTTGACATTTCATCATTTATCTTCCTATCTGCATTTCAAGTGATAGGTTAAGACTAACTGTCTCGGTAGACGTTACATAGGACACTATAAATTAACAACCATTCGTAGAACACTTAGGACAAATATATCAGACAGTTTCTAGTGCCCTAAAAGCCATGGCAGGTTATTCTAACTTTGGCAAAAGATGAAAAACATGTGAAGCTTCGAATGGTTCGAAACACCTTAAAAAATAAAGAATTGATTGATACAAAATTTAGCTGGGGAGGGCGCAATAAGCTTCAAGAGCTATAACGAAATATACAAGTGAACGATTTTAATATTCCGACATTTTGCAATTTCATTTTGTTGTTTTATAATTTTTTCTAAGATTAAAGATAAAGTAATTAAGATACGTACCATATTAAAACATTGAGTCTATTTAACAAAATGTAATCAGTCTAATTATTAATATAATTTAATTTTAATTGCACACGCCTTTATCATTTATAATAAATAATGCAACACATCGTAAAGCAACCAAGGGAATATTATTATAATTTGCGAAGATATAAACAAATATTCTCGGAAATATCGTGGTGCCCAAATATCAAAGTGAGTAACTGTACGTATTTAAAGAATAAATGGGTTGCACATCCTTTTATCATTTATAATAAATAGTATAATATATCGTAAAGCAACTAAGCGAATATTATAAGGTCTGGCAAAAAATTTGACCTCTTAATAAAATACCATAAAAACTTTTTCACAAAATGAAATTTTAACGACGGGTGTTTATAAACACCTCCGGCTATAACGTACTTAATTGGGTACGAAGTGGGTTCCTTGTGCTTTTTTACAGAGGATAAAACGTTTTCGGAAATTTTCGGCCGTGGCGCACGTCTCATTCAGTAAGATTCACGCCCATTCTCGGCGTAACGAATGCTAGAATTTTTTCAGTATTGTTAGACATCTGAAAAATGTACGTCAACACATTCACGCCGGCGTTGCTATTTGTGTTTCTTACCACGGGGCGGCGCGGTGGTACACGCCATCTGTTAGGCACGCGAGCGCAAGCCACCCGTGGTACACGCCGCTCGAGAAGAGAGTCAAGCGCGAGCCACCGGTGGTACACACCGTCGTGACGTATTGAACAAGTTGGAAAAATTCTGAAAAAAATACATTTCCGTACCTTTTTTTACTGGATAATCGAACAGAAATGTGAACAAATTCGAAACTCGAAGCGCTTTCGTGCTAGGACGAATGCAACTTGGAGGTCAAATTTTCAGCCGCAAGCCTGCATTATAATTTGCGAAGATATGAACAAATATTCTCGACAACATCGTGGTGCTCAAATATTAAAATGAATAACTGTACGTTTTTAAAGAATAAATTGGTTGCACATGCGTTTATCCTTTATAATAAATAATGCAACATATCGTAAAGCAACTAAGCGACTATTATTATAATTTGCGAAGATATGAACAAATATTCTCGAAAACATCGTGGTGCCCAA